GGCTATGGCATTGGGGCAGTCTTGGAACAGCACGACGGCGATGACTGGCACCCTGTGGAGTATTTCAGTCACAAAGTGCCTCCCATCAACTCGCTTGATGATGCAAGGAAGGAACTGCTCGCATTCGTCATGGCTCTCAAGCGATGGCGACACTTCCTCCTTGGGCGTCGTAGGTTCACATGGGTCACGGACAACAATCCATTGACTTACTACAAGACGTAGGATACAGTGAGCAGCACGATCGGACGATGGATGTACTTCATCGACCAATTTGACTTCACACCGAAACATCTGCCCGACCTCTCAAATCGCGCAGCAGATGCACTCTCGCGAAGACCCGATCTTTGCGTTATGACACATCATGCCTTCGCATTCGACGAGGAGCTTCAGCGACACTTTATCCGGGCGTATCAGTCTGATCCGGACTTCGGCACGCTCTATGCACARCTATCTTCGGATCACCCGCCGGCCAGCCATTACCGCATTGCCGACGGGTACTTGCTCCTCCACTCGAGAGGCAAGGACTTACTATGCGTCCCACGCGACCGTTGTCTTCGGACTCGCCTCCTTGGCGAGTATCATGATTCACGACTCGCCGGCCATTTCGGAGTCAACCGCACTATTGCACGGCTTAGACAGCGATTCCGATGGCCCGACCTCATTATCGATGTCACTCGGTATTGCGACTCTTGCGAAGTTTGCCGACGCAGCAAGCCCCGCAACCGCAATCCCTACGGCGAGTTACACCCGATGCCTATCCCACGGGAACCCGGTCTCTCCATTGCCATGGACGTCACCGGTCCGTTTCCTCGCGACCGTCTCAGGCACGACGGCATCCTCACGGTTGTGGACCGATTGAGTAAGTACGCGCGTTTTCTCCCTTGCAAGTACTACTCCATGGCTCCCGAGCTGGCACGCCTCCTGCACACTGGTTGGATTTGTGGCCACGGTGTACCAGAAGACATTGTCAGCGACCGCGACACTCGTTTCATGTCGGCATTTTGGATTGCTCTCATGCAGGAGTCCGACACAACAATGAAACCATGTTCGGCTCGACATCCTCAGACAGACGGGCAGACGGAGCGGGCAGATCAAACCGCTCAAATGATGCTTTGTACGCTCATTCGTCCGGACCACAAAGATTGGGTTGACCGCCTCCCCGACATCGAGTTCGCCTACAACACTTCGGTGCACCCGGCGATCGGCGTGACTCCATTCGAGTTGCGCCACGGTGGACGGAAAGGCCGCATCTTCGCCGACCTTCGCCTGCCCCGACCAGCCGACATTGACGCCGCTTGCTCCCCCGCTTCCGTTCGGAATTACAGGGACTTGCTGACTCAAGCCCGCRCAAATATGCAAAAGGCTCAAGTTCGCATGCAGCAGCAAACCAACAGGCGTCGCGTACCATGTCCCATCCATGCCGGTGATCTGGTTTGGGTCTCCACGGAAGAGTTTGCACTGGAACAGGACGTTTCACGCAAACTGCTTCCCAAGTGGTTTGGACCTTGGTCTGTGACAGCAGCCGCGGGCGATGAGCCCGATGACCCTTCATTTGTGCTCAACATTCCAAAGCATCTGACGGTCCATCCGGTCTTCCACACCTCGAAGCTGGCAACATACACGCCAACCAAGAGCGACGACTTTTCGGGCCGACGATCGCAGGACCCTCCTTTTATGGATGGCCATCAGGAAGTTGACCGCGTCATCACCAATCGCAAGTACAGCAGCAAGCCGCGGCAGTACAGAGTCACATTCAAAGCATGCGATCGTGACAACACTCGGTGGATTTCAGGAGCAGATTTGAAAGCATCCGCACCGCTGATCTACGCTCACTATGAACGTCAAAGGTTAGCCAAGGGACCTCCACGACCTGCCCCTCCCACCCGGACTGTGGTCCCTCCCTCAGACAGACAGCTTCGCCCTCGCAGGTAAGCTCGGTCTTTCAAGGAGGGGGGGGTGTGGCAKACTGCGTAGCCACACGGGCCCTGTAGGACCCGTCCTGGACATTCAGCCTTAAAGCCTAAAACTTAGGAGCTACAGGCCCCGGTCGTTTCAGCCTGAAAATTGAAAAAAAGAGGGCCTGCAGGCCCTACTCCGTTTCAGCCTATTTCTGGGTCTTTCAGACCCAGATTTTTTCCAGCTTGAAACGGAGGGCTATTCTTAGGCCTTGGGCTATTTTTAGGCCCTTATTTGTTTCGACCTGCCCTAAGATTCAGGCACGAAAACTGGGTTTCGGAACAGGCTATTTCTGGCCTGTTCCCACGCCAGCTCGAGCAGGAGCTACAGCTGCAGCCCCTGCCTCCCTGCGGCAATTTTGGCATGAGCACGAGCAGGAGCTGCAGTTGCAGCCCCTGCCTCCCTTCGGCATTATTGGCAAGAGCACGAGCAGGAGCTGCAGTTGCAGCCCCTGCCTCCCTTCGGCATTATTGGCAAGAGCAGCCTCCTGGACTGCTCGCCCGAGTCAGGAGGCACCCGTGATAGTACATAGGAGCTTTAGGCAGTGAACGGGTAGGCAGTTGGAGAGTAGGACGGTAGTCTTCAGATTTCGGCAGCAGCACTCAGGAGGAGCACTGCAGTAGTCTTCAGCGCTAGGCAGTAGTAGTCTTCGGCGCTGGGCGCCCATAGCCATAGCTGTAGTCTTCAGCGCCGGGCGCTAGTAGGTGGTAGTAGTTGCAGTGGAGGGAGATGGCTGGCGGAGGCCAGCGGTACTTACCTGTGGCGCCATAGCTCCAGCTCCATCTTCGAGGTACCTGCATCAAGGCGCCAACTTCACAGGTTAGTACTGGACAGAGAGAGAGAGAGAGAGAGA